ACCAATACCTCCCTATGGGGCCATCAACAGCTCCCTATGGGGCCATCAATACTTCCCTATGGGGCCACCAGCAGCTCCCTATGGGGCCACCAACACCATCTCTATGGGGACAGCAGCCCTTCCCTATGGGGCCACCAATACCTCCCTATGGGGACAGCAGCCCCTCCCTATGAGGCCACCAATACTTCCCTATGGGGCCATCAATACTTCCCTATGGGGCCACCAACAGCTCCCTATGGGGCCACCAATAGCTCCCTATGGGGACAGCAGCCCTTCCCTATGGGGACATGGGGACAGCAGCCCTTCCCTATGGGGCCACCAATAGCTCCCTATGGGGCCACCAACAGCTCCCTATGGGGACAGCAGCCCTTCCCTATGGGGACATGGGGACAGCAGCCCTTCCCTATGGAGAAATGGGGACAGCAGCCCTTTCCAATGGGGAAATGGGGACAGCAGCCCTTTCCTATGGGGCCACCAATAGCTCCCTATGGGGCCACCAATAGCTCCCTATGGGGCCACCAATAGCTCCCTATGGGGCCATCAATAGCTCCCTATGGAGCCACCAACAGCTCCCTATGGGGCCATCAATAGCTCCCTATGGGGCCACCAATAGCTCCCTATGGGGCCACCAGCAGCTCCCTATGGGGCCACCAGCAGCTCCCTATGGGGCCACCAATAGCTCCCTATGGGGCCACCAATAGCTCCCTATGGGGCCACCAGCAGCTCCCTATGGGGCCACCAGCAGCTCCCTATGGGGCCACCAATAGCTCCCTATGGGGCCACCAGCAGCTCCCTATGGGGCCACCAATAGCTCCCTATGGGGCCACCAGCAGCTCCCTATGGGGCCACCAACAGCTCCCTATGGGGCCACCAGCAGCCATTCCCGCAGCGACGCAGCGCCGACAGCCACGTGTGAGCATTGCACATTTCCTGCATCTCTTCTGTACAGGCCAAGGGGCCCCCCTGCCCCCCAGCTCTTGTCTACAGGCCGAGGCGCCCCCCCCGGCCCCCCCCGCGGCCCCCCCGCCCCCTTTTTCGACCCCCCCCCGTTAACGCAGGTCGTCGGCGGTGAACATTCCGCGCGCGCGGCGCAGCACGGAGTCGCGGGCGGCGTCGTAGGGATGCTCCTTGGAGGGGATCTCCAGCACGGCGGGCAGCGAGCGCGTGTGAGCCTCCACGGCGTGCCGGATCAGCTCGGCCACGCACTGGTTGATGAGGATGATGCCGATGTCGTCGCGGTTCAGGAAGCTCCTGGCGAGGAGGAAAAGGGGGCGATTTGGGGGGTGGGAAGCGGCCCGGGGGGGTCGGTGGGGGCCTAAGGCAGCTCGGCCCCGGCACTAAGGAACGTGGGAGGCTTCGGGCAAAGGAGCGATGCACAAAATGCTCCGGCCGGGGCTCTGCGACCCCAGAAAACCACGGGGTTCTGACCCAAACACCGACCCCATATGTTCCCATTCAGCCCCTAGGAATGTTC